GGATCTCACCCTCCTCCCTTTAATACGTCTCTGGTTTGTACGGTAGAAGAAGATATGAATCGCACAATATGTAGGGTAGGGGACGAGTGAGTAGGGTATGACGCGCCACTATGACTGAACCAGACCTTGGTTCGATGCCGCCCCTGGGCAACCAAGTCCTCGTGAAATTATGCATGAAAACTGTGTCGGTAACATATTTTTGCCTATATCTATCCTGCAGTTTTGTTGCTTCTGATACGCATTTATCACAGCTATGAAGTACACTGTTGTGACAAGGCTTTATTTGCTAAAAGAAAAAACAGAACAAATTTCGAGGCTATAATGCTCTAACATGCTCCTGCACGGCTTTCGGGCAGTCATGGCTCGAAATATAGCTCCGAACCGTACAACGTTCGATTCTCGGATCTCGCCGGACGCAAATAACGAAGCCATTTATTCAACTTAAAAAAAATCATCATGAATAACACACAAATACAACTGTACTTACTCTTTTGCGTGAGACACTCGTCGTCAAGAGCGCAGATTTTGGCCTTGTACTCCTTCATTTTCGCCTGGTGCCGCGCCTCCATCTCCTTCAATTTCTCCTGTAGCATAGCCTAGTTCGTACCCTCTGTAGGTCATCATCTCCTGCTGAGCGCGTGTAGTGAGCGCCAACATTCGCAGCTCATCAGCTTTGCTCACCTATGAAAATTTTTTTGCTAAATAATAAACCGAGGACAATATCCAAGTGACTTACGGAGGAGTACTGCGAACCGGGCAAGACACTCCAATCTGGAGAGCGGGTGAACAGTCAGGAGACGCAGGAGATGAGTTTGGTGTAGCTTCAGATACATAGCGGGTGGGAGACGACATAGCTGCTAAGTATTTTTCGTCATAACGAAGTAAGCCACTCACATTAGTATCACAAAACAAATTCGAGAGCTAAGAGAAATGCAACGCTCTAGGAGCAGGAAGTAAAGGGATGGATGCCAAATGAAGTATGGTGCATAATACTCTGCACCAGAACTCCTAATCCTGCGACACACCTACAATTGTAATAAGTTTACCCACATGAGCAGACCTGCTGCCCTAGGACGCTGCGTCGATGTATAAAGCGAGCACGGATATAGACAACTCCAGAACTTGGCATCCACGCTCTATGTCCACTAACAATAAGTAGG